GCAGACATCCAGAAGGAAACAATTTACAAATTACTATGCTTGAGTTTGCACATACCCACTTAAACAACATTTGGTTGTTGAAAACATACAACTTCATGGGCAGACTCTGAGACTTCGACTTCAGTGCTGATTCTGGTTTCAATAAACGGAGGTGAAAGCAAGAAGCTCAGATAGAGGTCTCAGCTCAAAGATGAGCTTTCAAAATAAGACTGCAGAAGTAGCCTACTAGTTAAATGGAAGGAAGTTGTAGGAATTCCTGGAGAATATGATTAATTTATCTCCTCCAAGGAGTTTGAAAAAGGTGGGATTTGTTAATGAATAAGCTTGAGTGTGCATCATGGCAGACTTGTTTTGAAGCAAGAAGGCGGCACCCCAAAAGGACTGTCCAAATAGACTGTTTGCACTACCCTGCTCAGCTTGAAATCTTGGAGTCTTCGTAGAAAACAAGATCAGAGCAGAGCAGACAGAGACAAACAGGAATAGCGAAGCCACGCTCCCCTTCTAAATGGTAAATGACTATTTTTGATAGAGATGAATTCTGTGCAGATAGGAACAGATTCATAGCCCTCTCCAGATAGCAGGAGATATAAATTGTATTGATGTATATGATACTAAACCAAACCCAGTATTCTTGTCCAAAACAGTTCCAAACCTCAAGACATTTTATCTTTGCAAAATGAACTACCACATCCTGGCAAAACAATAATTCAGAATAATTCCTTTGCTCCTACAGATTCAGAGACTTTCAGGCCCTCAGAATACTCAGGTGTTTTTTTTTTTCTTTACTGTGGAAAGGAAGACTAAAGTTGCAGGATGTTCTAACTTGGTAGCATGAAGTGATTACTAAACCCATACCCTGTTTTACATCAACAATAGGAACTCAGTTTACACATACACATACATTTACATCAAATATTATGTATGGTTTCATGGTGAGTTCATTTTTTGTTTGCAGTTTCACATAACCTTTCTGAAGTGAGCGGGTAGCAACTTTATCCTTCTGTCTGCCTAATTTAAAGAGTACTGTCTTGTACTGAAGGAAAATTTTACAAAACAGTTCTAAAATATGATCCCCAAAACCTGGGTCTGTCAAGATGTACAAACTTTGGTTGTGAACAGATAATCCAGATTGATCTGACATGCAGAAAGATAATGCTGGTTACAACTTGCTATTGTTAAACGATGCGTGATTAATGCGCTGGGTTTGGGATCAGCCAACTGCTGTGGGTTTAATAATTTATTTTATTTTATTACATTTCGTAACCAAGCTGTTGATGTAATCCTACCCCATGTGAATGCTGAGTTCAGGGTTTCACAATAAATGAGGTGCCATCTAAACCAGCATGAAATATCCACCCAGTGTAATCTAAGGTGCCCACAGAAGTTGAAAGAGGACTGAGCTCCTGATGTTGCCAGTGGGGTCTCCAGGGAGTAATTAAATTCTCAGCAAAATGTTTTACTCTTGCCTCTGCTTTCTCTTTGCTTGCCTGAAGAAATTTAATACCTTATTTGATTAGTGAGAGGATGGGCCATGCAACAAGTGGGAAAGCAGGAGAATTGGCTTGTATTGGGTGAACTCAGGCTCCCTGAACTGAACCTTCTGTCATGTTTCCACCAAGAAAGGCCAAAAAGAAACATTAAGTGAGCTGGCTACGTAGCACAGACCAGGAAACTTTCCCAAGCATTTTCTTCATCAGAATTATAAGCTCTGTTTGAGCACTAGCTATGCTTTAAAGCAGTCACTTCTCATCTAATGACTGCACCTTGAGAAGCTATTTCTTCTCTAAATGTTTGCACCCACAGGAAGAGCAAAACCCATGGGCAACCTCTGTACAGGGAACTAGTGTCACTGTCTTCAAAGCCAATGACCTTACTGCCTACTGGGAATGGTCCTGGACCCATTTTAGCTGACCTGTGCCTGGGAATGACTTAGGACGGTGCTAGTTGGCCCAGCCCTAAACACCACCAGCAACTGCTCTGTGACTTTAACAAGGCGAGCAGTCGATTTCCAGCATCTTTGTGGTGATCTGGCATCATTTAATTTCCCATTATTATGGGTTTGTGTGCACTACACTGGATTAAATGTCAGAATGCAGCAACACTCTATTTTCTGTCACAGGATTTACCGTCTTTTGCTGACTCTATCAGACATTGGTTTCCCAAATTGGGATCAAATGGTAACCTCTCTTTCTTGAACCGCCTGCATTGATTTGATCAAGCTATTTAAGACTCACATGTTTTTGAGACATTATATCTGTCCTTTTTTAGCCTTTTCTGATAGAATATCCTTTTATAATTAATACTGTATATATTCTGCCTTCCTAGACTAAACTGATATATGCTTATACACCCAAGGCTCGAGGAGCATTGCAAGAACCAACCATATTCAGCTGACTATCTGCTGAATTCGGTGAAGGACATCTGCACTGCACATCTAATGAGTAGATACTTGATTTCTTGAGTTAGGTGGTATCTTTCTTCAAAAACTGTACGAGGCTGAATGAGACCATGAAGGTATGCTGGAACGAGTCCACAGAGGAGCTCCACCTGTTGTGGAGTCTCCCTCCTCGGAGACGTACAAAACCCAACCGGATACAGCCTTGAGCAACCTACTGTAGCTGACCCTGTTCTGAGCATGGGGCAGGGACTAGATGACCTTCAGAGGTACCTTCCAGCTTCAGTGATCCTGTGATGCCGTGTGTGCCCTTTTCATTGGATCAAGGTTTGGAAGCATCAGTCTCTCTTTACCCAGATGAGAGTGAAAGTCCCTCTGGTCTGTTTTTGCTTCCCTTTACCCATAACTCATGCCTTCCTAACTGTCCAGTTTAAACAGGAACCTCCCAACCTTTTTATCTGCTCAACAGCAGTTTCTGTCACTGAATGAGAATTCTGTAAGCTCCAGAGAACTGGTGGACTGCTCCATCTCCTGGTATTTATCTATGCCATGAACACATGCAGGCTCCGTTGTGCTTCTGCTGACTTCGGAGCAGCATGGAATGGGTCGGGGAAATTTTCAGAAACACTGGAGCTGACTACCCACAAGCCAGCCTCAGTCAAAGGAGTAGTTTAACATGGAATGGGAATCACTGAGTTGTAGCACCTCTTGAAACCTCCACTCTGATAATACAAGGAGGTACAGTATCTATTCTCTGATGGAAAACCAGGCATTCCCTCTCTGCTCCCGTCTGCTGTGTCTTGCCTACATCCAGCTCCTGCAGCAGGACTTGGGAATCAGAGCATTGCTGCGGGCTCATGAAGCCACCAAACTCTTACTAGTGCTCAGTCTCCTTTAAAAATAAGGTTTGTGTCTGTGACAGCAGAATTAGTGCTGAATTTGGTTCTCTATTCAGTGCTGGAGGCAGATTTAGTAAGAACAAATCTAACACCCAGCACCTGACAGTGGGGAATCCTGATGGGGGGCCGTGGTCCCAGATACAGGGGTTTTGTTTCCCTGAAGTGGTAACTAATACCCTGAGCAGCACCTCTGTGAGACTGGTTCACCCTCTAGCTAGCGGCCAGTGCTGAACCACCATTACCCCTGCACATTTCTTTATGACATAGCTGTTCTTTGTAAAGTATATTAATAACTTCGGGAGCCAGGGCTCCCTCCAGCACCATACTACAGGGTCAGACCCCATTTGTTTTCTCTCCCTCCTAAGGGAGTTGGCTAAGCTTTTAGGTCAAACTTGCCCTGAGAAGGCCGTGAGTGCTACTGAGCCCTGTGCTATGCGTGTTGTGCTGCATGTACTCGGTTGCTGAATTAAACTCCTCAAAGCCTTCAGTGCAGCGATCCCTGGTGTGAAAAATCCCAGACAGCTTCAGCAGGGAACGAGCATGGAGACATCGCAGCACAGCTGAAGTGGCAGCGTATCTGTGCGTGGCCAGCTTTGCTTTCTGGTGAAACTCAAAGCTTTTAAAGTCTCTCAGATTCCTAAGGATTGCTGAATTTAGGCTGTTACTGCTATACTTAAGCACCTAGATTGCACATGAGATGCCTACATGCTCTCGGGGATTTTAAAATTCCCTGTGTCTGAACAGAGTCAAATAGGCCAAGCAGAGAATGATGCTAATGCAGCTTAGCATATCCAGGTACTGAAATTAAATAATTTAGAATAGATCAGCTCTTCAGTGTGCTGGCTGGGTGCTGCCCAGGCTAAAAGTCAACTTATTGCCATTGCAACTACAGAGCTGTAAACTGCAGGCACCAAAATCAAGACCTGCGTGTGTAAACTGATAGATGAGCCTGTAACTCATATGTGGGGCCTGGAGCAAAGCCTAGTGTTGTTTATAAAGACTGAGAGAGCCTTATGATGATTTTGGGCTCAGTTGTTGTAAGTAAAAACACCGGAGCATCACTAGCGTGAACTCAGAGCTTGGTTCTGCTGAGGTGCTCTGCAGCTGTGCACGCCAGACTGAGCATCCTCCCGTTCTGCCCTGGAGCAGCTCGGAAGGTCCTACCTCCATGGTGGGACTCTGACCCTGCCAAACCCCTGCAGCAAGCACCTTGCCTCTAATACATCAACACAGAAATCCCTCCCCTCCCCAAACCTTGTATTTCCCATAAGCAGCCATAAAGCTGGAAAACAAAGCTCCCAACCTTCCTTCCCCTGCCTGATCCTGGATCAGTCTCCCAACAACCGCACAACAGTTGTTTTTGCTCGGCAGTGGCAAACTGAAAGGATCTGCGTTGTGAAGTGGCTTGACAAGCCAAGGAGCAGAGCGGTGGGGGGTTGGGGGGGTGGAGAGATGCTCTGCCAGCCAGGCAGGCGGGATCGCTCTGGCAGTGGCTCTGTCTAGCTTTCACTGTCTCCCCAGGGAGGGAGTCTTTCTCTCACTCCAGGCTTCTTCCTTGCTGCACGGGAGGGAGAAAGCAGAAGGTCCCTTCCCACTGCCAACACCCAACTGCCCGGCTCACGTCTGCAGCAGCAAACCATGAGGAGGAGTCTCTTTGCCCCTACGTTCACTTTGCCTTTGATTTAAAACCACTTCCACCGGGGACGATGGAGGAGCAATACATTTCCAAACTCCACCCGGTAGTGGATTACGGAGCTGGGCTTTTTCTGCTGATCATAGGTGAGTTCTGCCTTCACAGCCTGCTTGTTTGCCTGAAGCCCAGGAGCAGACAGAGAGGCTGACCCGTCCGTGCTGCGGCCAGCCAGAGGCAGCAGGAGGGAAGCGATGGAAAATCTGGTTCCACACAGGTTGCCCTGTGAGTACCTTCGAGCCGGTTGGATGCCAGGATTAATCTCCACTCTCAGGTTTGCAGTCCTGTGTTTCGATGCTGAAGATCTGCCAGCACAGGTTTGCCTCTGCGTCTCACAAGTGTTCAAAATTAAGTTGTTTAATGTTTATCCTGGCATCCCAGCCCCGAGAACTGAGGGAAGAGGCGGCCTGCTTCGTGAGACTGATCAGGGGAGAGCAGCTTTGTTCTGACCCTTTGGGGGGGCTTGGGGGCTGTCATTACCTGGTCTAGTGGAAGGTGTCCCTGCCCATGGCAGGGGGGTTGGAACTAGATGATCTTTAAGGTCCCTTCCAACCCAAACCGTTCTATGATTCTATGATTCTATGATTACGCTTGAAGAGGAGCTGTGTCTTGGTGTAAAATAGCAAAGGGTTTCCAAACAGCATTTCTGGTTTTTATATCATCCCGTTTGCCCTGCTTTGCAGTGAAGTACAAGTGGGGGCACCTACCAGTCCGCTCCAGCGTGGCTTTAGCTCAGTGTTTTCCTTCTTGTCGGCTTGTTGCACGTACCCAGGTGATTTGTTTACTATGGCTGTAAATTTGGAGAGGAGCAGAATCGGTTTAGGCATGCAGTCCAACTGAATTTTGCTGAGATGCACGTACCCTCCTCCCTTCAGCTCATTTGGAAACCCAGGCTGAGATGCATTTGAGAAAGACAAGCATACATTTTTAAGTGCTTTAATAGAGAGGTTTCAGGCAGCAAAACTGGGCTATAGCATTCCACATCTCACCCTTGTTCCCTCACACTTTTCCCTGCGCTGTGCTGTCCCCTGGGTTGCACTGACAGCGGAGAGTATAACCCAGGGTGAGAAAAATCACTGTCTGCAAAGCAACAAAGGGATTTTCTTTTAATCCAAGTCAGGATGCCAGCTCCTTTCCCACACAAATGTAAATGCGTAGATGCGGTTAGGGGTATGGGACGGGGGCAGCAACAAAGGGCTGGAGGAGGGAGCTCCCTTTGCTGATATTGCTCATGTGCCACCATGCCATGGTCCCACACCTCTCCTAAAGGGCTTTGAGACACCGAAGCTTCAGGCATATCTTCCGGCATCAGATCAAGAGCCCCTTAGCTCACTACATTGAGTAGGGAGTCTCAGAAACATCCCATATACAAAGCAGCGAGCTTAACTGGAAACTCTGTTGGATTTATCATTGCCACCTCACTGGGGGCTGCAGCACGGCCTATTTTTCCCCTGAAATTATGTTTTCATTAGGAAACAAGAAGGCCAAGCCTTTGCTATTTGATTACTAGCCTCCTCAGTTGTGGGGGGACACAGTTGTGTCCCGTGCCATCCAGCCGCCTCACAGGCAGTGGGATGGAGGGGAGGGGCATCTGCCAAAGTAAACGAGAGGATGGGCCTGGATGTCCACCTCTGATGGTAAGACTAACAACTACTTCTCAACTGTTGCGTAGTGGTTAGGGCTGTCTCAGAAAACTGGGTTCATTTTCCTTCCGAAGCCTGAGGATGTCCCAGGCTGGGGCTGTCATTTGGCAGGAGCGTGCTCTTCCCACCAAGCCGCAGGTTGCTGCCACCTGTCAGCAAGCGGTCCCATGCCAAGCCACTGCGGGTATCTCTGTGTGTGCAGACCTACAACTCCGGGGCTCAGGGAACCCTTCAAGCAGAACCAGAGGTACCAAGTGAATGTTTGTGGTTAGAGAGCGAAAGAATGAGGGATGTGGGGGTCTCAGATTTGTGCCTCCGTTTTGTTTAAGGCTTTTTCTCAACATCTCTGCCTATTCTTGGATTTGTGCCAGTGTATTTATTCCATTTTGTTGCATGTGGTGTTATTAATTCCTCTGTGGGCACTTTATTATGGGATATCTGTGAGCAAATGCAGCCTTTCTGCTTTCACAGCCACAAGGGAACAAGACGGAATCTGTTTCTGCTTCCCTAATTCACTTCTGACTTTAGAGGACACTTTCTCAGGAAAACCTTTGATCAAAATGCAGCTCCAGCACAACATTCACTTGAAAGAAAAGAGAAAATGAGTTGTTTGCTACCTGTGCGTTTGACACTGTTGTTATGAACGCTTTGAAGCCCTGTGGCATATCTGAATAATGTATGTCCAACAGGTCTTTCTTGCAAAGCAATTGCTGGTCTGTTGCATGCCTCTGGCTAAACAATGTCTATGGTCTGTCTCACTGCGCTCAGAGACCACCAGAAGAGTGTGGGTGTCTGAACTGTGGCACATGGTTATCGTGGTCTTCGGCCAGTGAGGGCCCTGAGCAGCTCAGCCAGCACCTGTCGACTATATTAAGGCAGACCAGAGTCCAGGAGGCTTGTGCTGGGGCTTCAGATACATTGCAAATAGGGAAAGGTTTGGGAAGTGGAGGGCACCAGATTCGAGGAGGGGACAAGCAGGCAGGACAGCTGCAGTTCTTCAGTAGAAAGGAGAAGTAAGTGAGGCCAGAGGAGGCCACGAAGATGCTCAGAGGGCTGGAGTACCTCTGCTATGGGGACAGGCTGAGAGAGTTGGGCTTGTTCAGCCGGGAGAAGAGAAGGCTCCGGGGAGACCTTATTGCCCCTTCCAGTACCTGAAGGGGCTACAAGGAAGCTGGGGGGGACTTTTTACAAGGGCCTGTAGTGACAGGACAAGGGGTAACGGGTTTAAATTGAAAGTGGGGAGGTTTAGATTGGATATCAGGAAGAAGTTCTTCCTGGAGAGGGTGGTGAGGCACTGGAACAGGTTGCCCAGAGTAGCTGTGGATGCCCCATCCCTGGAAGTGTCCAAGGCCAGGCTGGATGAGGCTTTGGGCAATCTGACCTAGTGGAAGGTGTCCCTGCCCATGGCAGGGGGGTTGGAACTAGACGGTCTTTAAGGTCCCTTCCAACCCAAACCAGTCTGTGATTCTACAATTCTATGATTACCAGAGAAAAATGAAGGTGGATGGATCTATTTTACTTGATACTGTGTTTTGCAAGACACTCTACGAGACTGGAGCAAATGGGTGTGGGCTGTTCACATGAGATAGGAGCTGCCGGGGAATAGGTGGGGTACAGTGCATGGAGAGGGGAATGTGACATGGAAGTGAAGAGCTGTGGTGTGGTGACAGGACAGGGCATGATATTTTCTACTGTTCATATGACAAAATTTCCCCCAGTCATTAAGGCACTACTGGGGGCTGTAACAGAAATCTGAACCACCCTTTGCTCTACCAGATCCATAGTGGAAACACAGCATGACTGGGAAATCCCTGTCTAGCAGGGAAGCGGGAACTGAAACCCAAGAGCTGGGTGAAGCAAAACAGTGGATGCTGTGGTGAGGATGCTGAGCTGTAGGGCAGCTCTCAGAGATGCCATCCAGGTGGCCTTTCCTCTCTGCTGTCTGAGACAACAAGCTTCCTCGCCCTGAGCTGAAGAGCAGGGCAAAGCACATGCATGCCTGCCTGTTTTCAAAGCATTAGCACTGTACTGTGTTGGCCTGGGAGCTCCTGAATCCTGGTTAGTCTCCCAGTCTGACCTGTCTTCTAGACTAGTCTCAGGCTAAGGACCAGCATTTTTCACATCCTTTGTACAGATAAGCGTTTCATGGGTGTGCTATCTATGTGGTACTATTGTTTGTGCTGATTCTTCTCTTTCAGCCATCCTCACAATCCTTGGAAATTCAGCCGTCCTGGCTACAGCAAAAAATCCTGAAGTCCCCAGAGCTGCTTACAGTCAACTTGGCTGTAGCAGATATTGGAATGGCAATCAGCATGTATCCGCTGGCCATTGCATCCGCCTGGAACCACGCTTGGCTGGGGGGAGATGCGTCCTGCATATATTATGCCCTGATGGGTTTCCTTTTTGGCGTCTGCAGCATGATGACCCTGTGTGCCATGGCTGTGATTCGATTCCTCGTTACCAATTCATCCAAGTCTAACAGTAAGTAACCACATCCCGGGTAAGGCCGTACTGGTGCATTTGGGTTATGATGTTCAGAGAGGTTCTTTGCTGAATACGGCATGGAGTATCCATTCAGCACTTGTAGGAATAATCCTCAACTTTTAGTCCAATATCGACCCTAATGTTCCCAGAAAGAACTAATTAAACTCCTTATTAGACAATGCGGCTTTTCACTCCTCAGTAATACCAAGTGAAACTACTGAGAGTGGAGACCCCAAATGTCTTGCTGGACCAGTCTAACCTTCCTGGTTGTCTGCAAGCAGACATACTGGAGCTTGAGAGGGAGGACTATTCTGGCATTACTGTGCTGGGAGTGTGATACTTTTGGGGTCAAATGGACCTTGTAAAGGTACCTGACTTACCAAATTTTAGATCAGCACTGAGGGCAGCACTCAGGTCTCACCCAATCCACGGACACTCTGTTGTGTTCCTCAAGAAGGCCAAAGTTTAGGAAACTGCAGCAGCAGCTCAGGCATCATATTTCTGTTTGAGAAGTTACGGCAAAACCCATGTAGCTGGGATCCATACATGCTTGCTCTTCCTCTTTCTTGCAGGTAACAAAATCACCAGTAACACTGTTCGCATCCTGATTACTTTCATCTGGCTCTACTCCTTGCTCTGGGCCATTCTGCCCTTGGTGGGCTGGGGCTACTATGGCCCTGAGCCATTTGGCATCTCTTGTACAATAGCCTGGAGCAAATTCCACAACTCCTCCAACGGCTTTTCGTTCATCCTGAGTATGTTCCTCCTGTGCACAGTTGCGCCTGCACTGACCATCGTTGCCTGTTACTTGGGAATTGCCTGGAAGGTTCATAAAGCATACCAGGAGATCCAGAATACTGACAGGATCCCTAATGCAGCTAAACTGGAGAAGAAGCTGACACTGGTGAGTTATTGCAGTGGTGAGAAGAGTCTGCAGTAACCAGGGCCTTGCAGATAAGGGGTTCTGCTCATGCATGGCTCACGATGAGCCTTCATCGCTTTTGTCTGGCTTTGACCAAAGACAGAGCTGTGGATTGAGTCTCACCCACACTCTGCACTCGGAGGAGCAGGGGGCTCCTGGAATCCTGGTGATTTCAGCAGCTTCATCAGAACAATATATCGTTAGTACAGTGCAACTTGTTAAATCTTTAGGCAGTTGCATGGACGTTTTTCATGGACATACTGATTTCCAGTCATGCTGGAATGGCCCCTGAATCCTTTCATATTGTAGCTGGAGTGGAGCTCTTGTTCTGTCATCCTAGGTATTTTTAATTGACTGAGTGGCTATTCTGAGTAAGAGCTACACAGAAATTCTGTATAGAAACAAGGCGTTTTAATATAACATTTTTCAATAAGCACTTCAGTTGCTCATTTCTTGTGGAAAAGCAGAACTGACCCAAGGTTTCTAGAGGCCAGTCCATTGATATTGCCTGGTTGGGCTGTGTCTGCCATGATGTATTGCAGCCAGAGCCAGGGAAGGAGATGAAAACAACTGCCCCATAAGAAACAACTGCCCCTGTACTCTGCTCTTGTGAGACCCCACCTGGAGTGCTGCGTCCAGCTGTGGAATCCCCAATATCAGAAGGATATTGACCACTTGGAGCGAGTCCAGAGGAGGCCATGGAGATGCTCCGAGGGCTGGAGCACCTCTCCTATGATGAAAGACTGCAAGAATTGCGCTTGTTCAGCCTGGAGAAGAGAAGGCTCCGGGGAGACCTTATTGCAGTTTTCCAGTACCTGAAGGGACTACAAGGAAGCTGGGGGGGACTTTTCACAAGGGCCTGTAGTGACAGGACAAGGGGTAATGGGTTTAAATTGAAAGCTGGGAGGTTTAGGTTAGATATCAGGAAGAAGTTCTTCCCGGAGAGGGTGGGGAGGCACTGGGACAGGTTGCCCAGAGATGTTGTCGAGGTCCCATCCCGGGAAGTGTTCAAGGCCAGGCTGGATGAGGCTTGGAGCACCCTGGTCTAGTGGAAGATGTCCCTGCCCATGGCAGGGGGGGTGGAACTAGATGATCTTTAAGGTCCCTTCCAACCCAAACCATTCTATGATTCTATGAAACCCACAGTGCCGATCTGCTATGTGGGAATAAAAACATACATGCACTGTCCAGTGTTACCTGTGCTGACGTCACAACATAGCAAGCATAGTTTCAGGTATTTCAGCTGGTTCAGGTGTGGTTTCCTCCATGTGCCCGAGTGTCAGACCCAGTCAGTGCAAGCTGAGAGCTGAAGGCCTGTTTCCCTTTCAGATGGCTGTGCTCATCTCGGTCGGCTTCCTGAGCTCATGGACACCGTATGCAGCAGCCAGCTTCTGGTCCGTATTCAACTCCAGCGATTCCCTACAGCCCATCGTTACGCTGCTGCCCTGCCTGTTTGCCAAATCCTCGACGGCGTATAACCCTTTCATTTACTACATCTTCAGCAAAACTTTCCGACGTGAAATTAAACAGTTGCAGTGCTGCTGTGGCTGGCGAGCTCATTTCTTCGGCACTGACAATTCTGCTGAAAACCCTGTGTCGATGATGTGGAGTGGGAGGGACAATGTACGTCTCTCTGCAGCTGCAAAGGTGGAGAACCAGGGAGCTGCAACTCGCTGAAACGCAGCGATGGTCTCACAACACAGGTGGGAACTTGGACTCGTGGGTCCAAATGTGTAGGAGTGTAGCACGTGGGGTTGTCACTGCGTATCTTATGTTAAATACAGAGGTTTAAGTATATATTTTTAAGCAACTGTCAAATATCTTTAAGCTACACAATAAAAAAGAAGACCCCAAACCTTTTTCCTAAGAATTTCCACTTTAGAGGAAATAGATTTATGTACTAAACATAAAAATATATAAACGAAAACTATTTTCAGGGAAACAGCTATAATTAAAAGAGGATTTATTATTTGGGGGCTTTTTTTCTTATACTTTTGACTTTTAAATACAATCTATCTGCAGACTTTCAGCTCTCGATAGAGGAAGCCGATCTGAGAAAACCATAGGTTGAGCATAGCGTTACGAAATAAGTACAGCTGTAGAGGGTAGCTTTCCAGCAACACAGACAGAAAACCAGATGGGTAGCAAGAAATACTCACTGCCAGGGAAAAATGGTGAAGTGGCTGCTATCAAAATGTCTTTCAGAGATGTACTGCTTCTTGCTGCATCAGAGGTGTAGTTCCAACTCCTAAAAACAGAAGGTCAAAAAGGAGTAGAGCAGCTCAGAGTCTGAGGAGGGTAGTGGGAATGATGCGGTCAGTGTGAGGTGCTTTCTGCGTATCCCAAACAGCACGATGAGAGGCGAAGGAATCTCTTAGCGAAAGGAACTGTGCACTCATGCTGTCGCTTGCTGAGCTGTAACAGCTCTTCCACCATGAAAGCTGCCGGAGCGTTTGCTTTCTGGAGGAGCACGCAGTGGAGCATCACGCCAAAAGACACCCCCAGGCCAACCTGCCCGGCAGCAAGTCATCCTGCGGGTGCAGTCCTCGCCCTCCTCGCTTCTGTGGGAGCTCCTGAGATACCGAGTTCTTCACGGGCTGGAGCACGGACACAACTGCAGCTGAGAAGAGAGTTTGCCATTCAGTTTAAACCATCCGTACAACTGTAACATCATCCTCCTAGCCAGGTCTGAGAAAATTGATTCTGAGGACGAAACGATGAGCTCCTACAGTTTAAATCTCTGACTTAGTGTGATTTTAAAGGACATGAACACTTATCTTTAGGGTTTGAAATGATGTGCAGTGTACAGCTTGGTAGCTGGCAGCAGTTCTTGCTTCCCTTGATTGCTCAGCTGACCACATCTGTCTTTGCTTTAGGTTCGGTGAAGACAAGAGGAGTTAAATCACAGTCAGTTAAATCACAACAATCTAAAACAATAGTGAATGGATTGTGAGGTCTTGAAAACTTCTACCACGCCAATAATTAGCTTCATTTTATGCACTACAGCTGAGGCCAAGAACAGGATTAAGATAGGCTTGAACACTTCTGGGCTATGAGAATTTCTGTTCCTGCAGAGGGCAGGTTACAAAAGAACCAGCAAAATGAGACATGAGCTGAAACGTACACTGAAGCACAAATCAATTGCTAGGTCAAATAGTAGGGGGTTAGGCAACTTCAAGGAGATTGCCTTCCCCTGAACTCCTGCCACTGGCAGTGTTGCAAACTCTCCTAAATATTCCATTAGATTAAACCAGGTTTAGTTGTAAAAAGCTGTGAAAGATTCTTAATTTGGCCTCCAGAGCAATATTATCATGTCATGGGTCGTCACTCGCAGATGCTCCATATGGAATGAGATCGCGCTCAGTGTTCTGCCCCAAATACTAAGAGGTGAAGCATCCTCTGGGAAACCGTCACCTTGGCAGCCCGTGGCACAGGGAAATGGGAAGAGGAATGTGGGAAGCAGGAGGAAACAGCAGTAACTGAGAGGGGAGCATGTGAAAGCTGAAGGAAAGTATTTGGGGAGAGGAGGCAGGAGAGCGTTATGCAGGTGTGTTTGTTGGGAGAGCGAGGAGGTGGCAGAGGGAAATGCAAAAGGGCCGAGAGTGTAAGACAAGAGGGGTCAGAGGAGAGGGTCAGTGGGTGGAGATTTTTTATCATGCTGGAAAGGGACTCGCTCCGGTAAATGACAATTATCAGCATTTTTTTCAGCTTTAAAAATTAAACTGACAGGAAAATGAAACTGTATTTTAATAATCATCTTCCACCTCAGAGTTCTGAGTTCACTTGCTCAGTTGCTGGATGTTGAAAATAATTAGCGGAATTTCTATTCCCGTCTGCTAATTGGAGATTTGTGAACGGAACAATGAGACGCACGAGGATAAGGGAACGTGAGCTTCCTCTGTGAAAAATTTAGGAGCAGAACAGGCCCACAGCCACTTGTAAATGCTTTTAGAGTGTATGTAATATGAAAACATATGCCTCTCTACAATACAGACAAAATCACTGTAAAACCAAAAGATCTGTATTTCGTTGAAGTATGATGCTTTAGTAGCCTTATTACCTGTTTATGTACTTAATTTTTAAAAATCAAAGTCCAGGTGTTTGTGTATCAAATACGGCTCAAACCTCTTTTTCATTTTCAGAAACAAATCAAAACTTCCCCAGTAGACTCTGAATTTTAGATGGCTTTAGGTTATATACAGAAAATCTAAAAAGCAGGGCTGTCCTTGACCAGAGAACTAGGAAAGAAATTCAGCATATTATACAGGGGAGTAGTTTTTTCTGAACTTTCATGGAGCTGGTTTATGGTCAAATAACTCCAATTTCATGGCTTTTCCTGCCCAGCCCTGAACTGTGTGGTCAACTAAGTGATCTCCCAAGCCACCGAAGCAGAATTCAAGCACTCACCTCCAGAGCAAATCTGGGCATCTTAAGTTTGCAATCACCAGCACAGTCATCCCAGTACAAATATTTAAGGTAAGAACTCCAAGGGCATCCAATCTGCTCACACACCAGGAGGTACCTCACAGAGCTGCAGAAGTTTACAATGCGGACAGCAACATCTGAGCGGGCCACCTTCAGCCCCTTTCTTTCTGTCGAGGATAAATGGAGCTCCCTACACATGATCACATGTGAACTTAAATAACACAACTAGCACCCTGCCTTGCAGGAAAATAAATTGGAATTCGGTGCCTTACTTGGAAAAACCTTCTAGGCAGTTTGTCCACCTCAGCACAGGAGTAAGTTCTCTAGTTGGAGAACTAGATCACCTCTGTTCACGGTCAATTTTCCATCTGTAAAATTGAAGGTGGCTCATTTCAGAACAAAGGTCAATTATTTGGTAGGACAAGGGGTAACAGGTTTAAATTGAAAGTGGGAGATTCAGATTGGATATCAGGAAGAAGTTCTTCCTGGAGAGGGTGGTGAGGCACTGGCACAGGTTGCCCAGAGAAGCTGTGGATGCCCCATCCCTGGAAGTGTCCAAGGCCAGGCTGGACGAGGCTTGGAGCAACCTGGTCTAGTGGAAGGTGTCCCTGCCCATGGCAGGGGGGGTGGAACTAGATGATCTTTAAGGTCCCTTCCAACCCAAACCATTCTGTGATTCTATGATTTAAGGGAGATCGTTGTTCTAGAAGTTAGAGCATGAGGCTAACACTGTGAAGACCTGGGTTCCACCCCATTATTTTGCCAGTTATATTGTGTGACTTTGGGGAAATCACTTAAACTTGGCCTCAGGTTCTTCTCTTACCCACACAGAAGAGACGGTCTTGCTGCTCATCACTGTGAAGCACTGGTGCTTTGGTGAACAGCTAAATACAAGTGCAAAAGCACCACTCCTGAACGTTGTGAAACACTAACAGAGAATGGGTTGTTACTCCCTCATAGTAATTTCTCCTCTGGATCATCTACCATGCTCAGGGAGTTATGTTACAATTCCAAGCCAAGAGGAAGGGTTGTCCCACAGTTAGGGCTCTGGTCTGGGACTTGGTGCTACGCCCAAGGTCTTGCTTTATCGCAGCTTTTCATGAAAGACAGCGCATCGCAGTAAGTCCACTCCTGCGTGTACAGTAGGATCTCCAGCCCTTTGTCCTGTCTGTAGTCCTGCACTGCTGCAAACCAGAAAATGCCTTACACGTTAAAAAATACCATATTTTGGAGCTTCCTCAGGGAAAACGACTTAGTCATGCAGTAGCTTGCTGCTACCTTGCTCATTCTTACTGGTAAGATCTGAGTTTCTAGTCCCATAGTTTATAGTTACCATTTTGTCTCGGAATATGCCAAAAATACTCATATTGAAACCAAATGTTTCAGTATATTTGCAGGGTCCCTACTTGACTTTGCACTGACCCACATTCTCACTATCCTGATCAGTTTTAAAGCAGGCAGCTCAAGGAGTGTGTGCAGCATCTGAGGTTTTAGTCAGTGACCGTTCACCGTTATCGACGAGGGCCGACAACCTGACATCAGCTTGTCAGTAAGCGCTACGCTTGTTGCTGTGCTGCTGCAGTAGCAGAAACATATGGGAGAGGCATGTTCCATCGTAGCTTGTCATCCCATAAGGAATCTCTACGTAGGCAGTGAACTGACAACTCGCCTGCAGTAAAGTCTGCTCACCTGAATATTTTCCTTCCTTGAAGAGCCTAATACAGACACCGTGTGCTGGGTGAGAAAACCAGCCCTTCCCTAGACTCAGCCTTTGGGTTTTCAACCCTGACATGACAAGAGAGGATCGATGTACACTGGGTCAGTCCTAGTCAGGAGCTTCAAAGGACTCTCCTTCTAAAGGCCTGGAGCAATTCCAATTGGAAGTTGGTGGGAATTTTTTTTTTTTTTACTGAATTCAAAGGGAAGAAGACACGGATTTAAACATTATGAGAGTTAAAAATAAAGGGAACTCTGAGGCAAACACAGGTAGATTACATACATCAGAGAGCAGAGAAATCAGACAGAAAGAGATGTGTAGTATTTGTTCGTTTCAGTTTAATATCCGATACGTCCTTGATAAGGACTTTACATTAAACAGATTTTTGGCGCAAGTTAAAATTTCTTTCTTGGTGGTACTGGTGGACGAAAAG